TTCCAACCCTAACCATTCTATGGTTCTATATATGCACTTATGTTTCCGCTTCTACAGTTTCACTGTGTCACAGGACCTGTAGGCACACATCTGTTAGCACAGTAAAAGGCACAACTTCCAGGTGTAACAGAATTGACAGCAAGCTGGAGAATAGAAGCCACATGCACAACAGGAACAGAAGTTTTCAAGCTGTCAGAGGCATGGTGAAGGTCACTGTACCATACAGGAGTTTCTTTCATCCTCAGACAAGCAATCAAATATGCTTTCCTGAAAAATCCTTAGAAAGCTATTTCCCAAGAGTTTTGGAAACTGCTCAACAGATGAAAGACTGACATTTTCAACTCTCAAATGGGCTGTCTTCTTTGTATGTAAAGTCACTTCGATGAGACACCCAAGGTGTCCCAGTTATGTCACTCAAAATGAGTCCTCATCTTTGAGTAAGGTGAACTCAAAACCTTGACACACAAGATAAAGAGGTGAAGAAAACTGCCACTAGATGTAGCCAGGAGTGAGTCACTAAGATAAAGATATTGAAGTGGAAACCAGAGTAATGTTCAAGATCAGAGTGTCTGGAAAGAAAAACAAATTAAGACCAATCTCACTGTCTGCCCTTTCAATTAGATAAGGTTGTTTGATCTGTAATAGGCTGTAGGAAAAAAATTTGAGTTCAGCTAGCCAAAAAACACTGACAGCAACAGAAAACCGAGACTGTGTGTTACAAGAGCCTGCCTGATCTGCACAGAAACAGAGGCCCTTGAGAAAATGGAGCTTTCTGTTCAGTCCCAAGGAAACGATGATAGTCAGGACAAAGCTGGAAAGTGCAGCATAGAAGGAGGGCACCAGCAACATCATCTGCAAAGGTTAATTTAGTTTCCCATAGTTGGCATAACCACAGCAGGCTTGGTAACGGTGGCATCTTCCTCTTTCCACTGAGAAATGATAGTTTTCAGCTGTGTGTAGAACTGCACTCCCTGGAGGAAAGGAGAGACACAAGGATCAGATGCTTGGCCTTATGAATTCTTCAGGCCTGCACTAGTGCTGTATTAAACAGTTCTTGCTTTATCTACAGAGGGTTGGGTTCTCCTCTGTGGGAACAATTCCTGTCAGCCTCTTCTTTTTACCAGTTCCCCAAAGATTCTGATTCTGTGAGAAAGCTTGCTACTTAGTTCTTGCTCCCTTCTCAAATCTCCTAAAAAACCCTTGCTTTTTTACATTTTTTTTTTTAAAAAAGGGGAATTGGCTATTGTAACATGCATTATGGTAGCTGTGATCACTGGCTGGTCTTCAGTTTCCTGGTTGAGACGACTTCAAAGTCTGCTTACTAATGATGTTTGTGACTCCATTGCCATTGATAATGTGATTTATCACAATTCAACCCAGTAGAGTACTCTGAATCACTAAGTTACCTGCTTGCCATAGAAGTTGCTGTCTCCTCTGAAAGAAGCACGAGAGCCAGTGAAAGAGAACATGGGCAGAGGTACTGGGATGGGAACATTGACACCCACCTAAACCAAAGGAAAGCTGCCATATTAATCACAGGAAGTAGCAGATTGCAGAGCACTCTCCAAAAGCTACCACATTTTATTTCCTTAAATCTAAGACTGGATACTGTTGGCTGAGTAGTCAGTGATTAGTAACTACAGCTGGATGGCTACCCACTGTAAATGGTGAGCAACAATTCTAGCTTGATCATACCTGCCCCACATCTACTAAGTGAGCGTATTTCCGAGCTGTGGCTCCATTGGTGGTGAAGATTGCAGTTCCATTTCCATAAGGGTTATTGTTCACCATCTTGATGGCATCATCCAAAGTGTCTGCTTCTAGAACCACTAAGACAGGCCCAAAGATTTCCTCCTTGTAGCAAGTCATGTTTGGCTGCCAAGACAAATGGCAGAAAAAGAAGCTTGTATATAGGATATAATAAACACGATATAATAAAATTATCCTAGGAAATAAGATATAATAAACACACATGCTGCCAATTCTCATGATATTCCTAGGATCACCCATCATACTGCATTGCCACAGGCCATCCTTCAGTCCTCCTTGCCTTTCCACCATTTCCCATGCCCTGCCATCTATCTAGTCCACTAAAGAGGCTACCACTTTTCATCTCCAGAGCGCTTTCTGCTTTTACTCCGTGCCTAACCTCACTTACAGGTCTAATCTGACCAAAGCTGATTAAAATCAGGATTAATTCAGGATAGCTTACTTCAGTTCTTCTTGACAAAGTGACCAAAACCTGCTATCCTTTTCAACTCAGTGTCCAGGATTTATAATCTTATAATTGTCTGATAATTGGCAACATCTGACAAATACAAAAACAACAGTTGGAGAGTACTTTAATCACTAATAGCTAATACAGCAAATTACAAAATATTCACTTGACAAGTTGTAAGTTTTACGTGCCTTACTATATTATTAACTACTGTATAAGGAAACTAAAAATCACAAAATCTCAGTGAAGCTTCTACTTTTGAATACCTAGCAATATTTACAACACATCACAGGGAAGTGAAGTATTTTAAGACGTTTAATGAAAATAAGGCAAGAAAACGCTGAGATAAATTAAAAGCCTGAATTACATAATCACACAAAATCAATAAAATCCTAAGAATACAAAGTACAATAGCAGAATTATAAAAATTGGTTTGCTATCATGGAATCGCTCACCAAAAGGCTCATAAAGAATTGAATACTTAAATATTACGGAAATCACACCAGCTAATTGCATAAACATAAAAGAACAGATTTAAGTACGAAAACTGATATGGATGTGTACCTGGTAAAGAATATTCCCCCATAGTAGTGTCCATCTGTTGCACACCACGCATTACACTGAGAGACTGATGTAATGAAGTTGTGAATAGATTCAACAACAAAGAGATTTTGTGCCTTATCCTATAATAGTCTCATGAAGATTTCCACAAGTAATTTAACTTTTGTTTTTGCAAGTCCTTAGATTGCAAACAGGACGGAAAATTGCAAGCTTGGCTGTTAATCATACTCCTCTGTAGGCATCTGCTGCTGGCCATTACTACAGGTAGGACACTATGCTCGACGGACGTTTAGTTTAACACAGCACAAACTGCCCACATCTTCTTTTAAACGGCTGCACTCTGCTCAGGTGAAGGCCATTAAACTCATTCCGAGTATGCTGCACTACGGCAATCCACAACAGCACTATGCACACTTCATTGGAATTGTGCAAGGGAAAGCTGAGCCATTTATGGGCTTTCTACCTGGCGATTAGTGACAGATTTGAGTAATCCATATTTCAACTGACCCTGCAATATACAGCATCAAGCACTGGTTTTGGTCATCTTACCTTGACTTTGGCAAGGATCGTTGGTCCAACAAAATTGCCATTTTCATAGCCCTTCACTTTGACTGTACGTCCATCCAGAAGAAGGCTGGCACCTTCTTTTACTCCTTTCTCAATCAGATGGCAAACCCGTTCCTTAGCTTGGGGACTGATTAGAGGCCCTAGATCTGCTCCAGGCTGGTCTCCTGTGAAGAGGCAGAGACAGCAAGTTTTTAACCCTGACAGCTTCCTCTTCATAGGCATCATGGAGATAACTACACTGGCAGGAAAAAATCTGAAAATCCTGATGTTTCTAAGACACAGAACAAAGATTTGAGACATTCATGAACAGGAATAAATAGCCTGCAACTCTCATCAACAAGTAAGATTAAGCATAAGCATAATTTTAGAACCCTGGGAAGCCAAAATTCAACAACGATTCTTCTCAGAAAGGAAATGTTTCTCCTTTGTAGGACTTTATTGAACATAAACAAAATATAATTCTCCTAGAATTAACAACAGTCTAGTTTTTCCAAAGTACTTGTTTCCATTTTTCTATTTTATTGCAGGCTTACTACAAATTGGAAGGATCTCTGCATGACGTTGCTATAGAAATGGTAATCTCAGGTTAAACACAAGACATAACCTCAAAGCTCCAGTTAAAACAAGACCAATCCTGTAAACCTTGCATCACAGTCACATTGCCAAGCCTTCCTACATATTCCCAACTCCAAGTCTAGGGCTGTGTTTCCCAATCTGGATGCTCCGCTAGCTCCTACCCCTACACATCAAACCTATGGTGCCAATAGCTCCAAAGGACACACCATAGTATGGCAGATATACTGACCTAAAAAGCTGTAGTTGTACAGAAGGGATTTTCGTAAGAAATTATCAGTGTCTGTACCTGCATTTACACGTAGATTTTTGGCTCTGTCCACAAGCTCTGGCAGCCATTTCTGAGCTTCTCCCACCAGAACTGCTGTAGACAGGGCCATGCAGCGTTGGCCAGCTGCTCCAAAAGCAGCTCCAACCAGCTGGTTCAAGGTGTTCTCTTTATTTGCATCAGGCATCACCACGCCATGGTTCTTGGCTCCCTGAAATATAACAAATACGCAGCCTCCCATTATTAACCACCCTAGTCCATGTCTTCTCTAGTTCTCTGGCAATATCTTCATATAGTAGCTATGACTCTGCTACTGACAGGCTGGCAAGAAGGGCAGCCTATTCACTTAACTATATCAGTAGCAAAGTCAGCTTCTGTTGCTGAGTGGCACGGTCCTAACGTTTACAGGAGACAGAGGCAGTCTATGTGCTGAAGGGTGCTCCATTCAGAGGCATTACCATGTTGGCCTGGACTCTCTTGCCATTCCGGGATCCTCTCTCATAGATGTACTCGCCAGCCTGATTAGATCCCACAAAGCTGATCGCTCTGATATCCGGATGGTCACAAATGAAATTCACAGCTTCAAATAGGAAATAACATATTATATACTGTGGTGCACAAATGCTTCCCGCTGTCCCCATCCCCACACTGCTAAATCTACGCATCTTTCTTCTAACCAAAATTCCCACCTCTGTGTTCCCTACATTTGAGTTCCCCTGCTGTTTGTACGTGCATCTCTCTACTAATTTCTCAGCATGTGCACTCCTGCCTCTGTGCTCATACACCCAGCTCTCTGCCATCTCTTCAGGATCTGGGCATTTCCCAAGGTGCCCAAGCAATCCTGAAGTGATGTTAGTGTTGTCTATTTGTATCCTTGTCTTCTGAAAATAATTGAGTGCTGTGGAAAACATCACATTAGGAGCTAAAATACTGGCATCCACTCTATATTCAGTGAGGCATTTAATTCTTGTTTAGGCTTCCTTGTGAAATCAAGATGATTTATCTACTTATTTAAGTTAGTCTTCAGGTTGCTAAATAGAACTTGAGCACTTACATGCCTTGGGAACTCTGACCTCAGCCCCCGAAGTTTTTTCCACCGTAAGTCCTGAAAGATTTGGTGCAAGATGGCAGAGAATCTCCCAGTCACCTCCCCTCCATCTAGAGGGCTGAAGTGTCTGTCCAAACCTACAAACCTCTCTAACAGCAGCAGTATCAGACTCTCCAACTTCGTTAATACCTCCACTGAACATCCATCACAACACTTACACACCTCAGCCATCTCCCAAGGGCTGCTATTACCTTCATGCTGTCCATGGATGATATTCAGGGTTCCATCAGGGGCACCAGCATCCTGAAACAGCTTGGCAAGGAACATGAGTGCTCCTGGTACACGCTCAGATGGTTTCATCAAGAAGGTGTTTCCACAAACCATAGCCATGGGGAACATCCAAAGTGGAATCATGGCTGGGAAATTGAACGGTGCAATTCCAGCACACACACCAAGAGGCAGACGGTAGGTGTAAGTGTCCATGTCTTTAGTGATGGAGGGCATGGTCTCTCCCAGTATGAGGGATGTCACACTGCAAGCATGTTCAACCACCTCTGCAGCAGAAAGGGCAATACACCACTGGATGATCTGTTAACAATCAGCCCCCAAACTCCCTTCTCACCACTGCCTTGACCTATGTCTTCTTCCAGTCTCTTTTCCCACAACTTAAAATTCATTGTGCTCCAGAAAATACCTTTGCTCTGCCAAGTGCTGTGAGCTCAACGTGAATCGATTCTTTCTTGAGTGCGTTTTATGTAATTGTGATAGGAGCACAGACACAACAGGCCCAGTAAAAGAAGCACAAGTACAGTATTAGTGTAACACCTGGGACTCAACCTTAGACATCTGAGCACAAGCGAGAAGTTCTTATCCCTTTACAGCAATTTGTAGTCACTCCTAGGAAAAGGAAGGATCTAACAACTTGCAAACTACTTAAGGTAACTCAATCTAAGGGAACTTTTCAGGTTAGAGTTACAATTGCCTCTTCTCCTTCAGAAGGAGGCTGTGAAGGGAGCTACATGTAGACTCCAAGAGCAACCAGTTGCTCAGGAGACCTCCTCCCTTCCTACAGGTTCTCAAAGCCCCTTTTTTAACAGGAGGAGCCAGCAGCTTACGGAGGCCTCGGAACACATCTCCTTCTGCGTCAGCCAGGGTCTTCCCTTGCTCATAGGTGATGAGTTTTGAAATTTCTTTCTGAAAATAGAAAAGATGAAGTTTATGAACATTAGAAAAGTGCCTGCCCATGAAACAGAGTGCAGAGATAAAGAGAGTTTAACAGAGAGTTGAATATCACAAGGAAGACTGAGTAGAATCTTGGAAAGTCTGTGTGATTGATTTGCTCCTTGTAGACAAGAAGCCAATAAGGCACACAGGTGACATTTAAAAAAAATCAACTGTGGGTTGGCTTATATTCTATAGCTTTCATGTGTCACACCACAGGCACACAGAAAAAGCAACCTGGGGAGTCCAAAGACATAGTCTTTGTCAACTGGCGCATTCTCCATCAAGGCTGAAAGTTCGTCTCATGGTCTTTTGGTAAAGGAAAAAATGCAGAATAATATTCCCTAAGAAGCACTGCCTCTGTCTCCATTTGCTTGGAGAGTGCTTCACTACATCCCTCAATGACACCGTCTCAGTTGGCTCCTCAATCACAGCAAACCTTGAGTCTCTCAATTTAATTCCTAAAGTCAATGGCAAGGCATTCGGTAACAGCCATCACACACAGCCATGATGTCTCACCAGATTGTCTTTGATGAGTTGTTGATAACGCAGGAAGATTTGCTGGCGACTCAAAACAGATGTTTCTGACCAGTCCCAAAAGGCCTTTTTGCAAGAAGCCACAGCTGCCTCCATCTCACTGGCTGTGGCTTTCGGTACGCGGCTAACCACTTCATTTGTGGCCTGAAGGAAAAAAAACTGCATCAAAACTCAACTTTTTCCAGCTGTCCCTGCCAACTAGTCAATGGTTCTTTCACACCACACACCTAGCATCCTCGTTCTACAAGGAGCTGTACTTCTGAGGAGAGAGCACAAAACAGACTCCTTCCTTGGTGCACACAAAAGGCCTGGGCTACAACTGGCAATAGTTCTGAAAACCTGCACTCTACACATCTCAAATTAGGCACCCAGAAAGCTGCAAATGCAGTGCAGATTTCCAAGCTGGAGTTGAAGTGACTTGTCTATCTCGCAGCTTCTACAGAGTATAAGCCAAAGGCTTCTGTGGAGTGGTCTTTGCCCTCTGCATCATCTTGGCTCATCCGCTGTCCCTCTTGTGCATTAACTGAGGCAAGGTTCCTTTGGAAAAAGCAGTACATGACTGTGCAATTGGCACTGATGTTAGTTTACCTAGACCACTAGGCCAAAGTAAGATTTTTACAAGCAACCTTAGTTCTACAGTATATTAACTTCAAAAGTTTTATTTGCCAGTTTAACTTCCTTCTAAGGCACTCTTGAAAATTAAGTTTGCTTTGACATGACAAAAACATCAGGTACATCACTAAGAGAGAAACTACTCAAGAGAAAGAAAATTAAACAAGAACATTGGTCACCATATAGAGACCAAATGAACTTCATGAACATGGTTTGCTGCTTTGATCACTTCCACAAAGCAAATCAAAATAGGGTTTTACATAGAAAAGTTTTAGAAACTGCCCAAATGCTTACTAGGGGGGTCAGAATTCTGAGTGCAACCTCATTTCCGTTTGTCTTTAATGGAGGACTCAAACTACAAGTGCTACTAAACTAAGATTATTTTGCACTGCACAGCATCCAACCTCTAAATTCACTGTAAATATTGTGGCTCACAGATAGAAGCTCTCCAAAAGGAGGGGAGCTGCAGCTGTCAGAATTTTCTACCTTGGTCTGAGAGTGAAATCAGTCTCTATCAGGACTTCACATTCAGCTAGCATCAAATCACAGCCAGCTGATTTCACGCACAGCGTGAAAAAAATGGTTCAGAAATTTGACATACTAATCACAGAGCCTTTCTATGAGCAAAAAAAAAAAAAAAGTAGGCAGGGTTTAAGCTTCCTTTCCGGCAATCAGGGTTTTACAACACAGGGGAGATAAAAGAGGTCATCACTTTCCTAAGACTGACATTTCATATGAAAAAGAAATTGAGAAGCAATGACACAGTGCTAAATCCATATTAAGATCCAAGTCTAAGCCTTCCTCAAGAAATGTAGGTACTTTCCCCTTTTGTCAAATGCTTGAACAGATGCACAGACTCTTGTTGCACAGTGATGGCTAATATATAAGCTGAGGACATGTTACTTACCGGGTTGTGGATATCAATCCATTCAGCTGTTTTGGACTCAACAAACTTCCCATCAATGAAGAGTTTGGTTGTTGGCTGTGGAGGACACACACTGGCCAGTGAGTGATCTTTGTCTCAAGATGCCCAAATACCAGTATACTTTATTACATGCAAGCCTTCATCATTTACTGCTATGCTGCCCATTAGAGAGTCTAGATCGAGTATTTAAAGCAAGGTCCAGCTAACTGCTTAGGCTGAAATTTTTCATGCTCTTTGCCCCATTTTTCTCTCACTTTACACCAAAATGACCAAAATTATTTCTAAAAGCAGTTACAGAAAAATACATGGCTATGCTTATGTTCAGAACTATTTCAATCTACTTAATCATCCAATGTTTACTAAGTCAGAAAACTGAGAAACTGCAATTCATAAATGTTCAAAAGAAACAGTAATTGACCTTGTGATCATTCCATGCACCCAGTGCACACTGTACTATATGTTTCCTTCCCATCAAGCCACAAAGTAGGTTCATCTCTCCAGCTCATAGCTACAGGCATTAAATTAGACTTTCCTCATTCCCTGCAACTAAGAGCAAGGAATCTGCATCTCCTGAGTTCACAGTGATTGTCCTGGCAAGCAGCATGGAGAACAGAACCTTCCAACTCAGACGCAGAGGAGAGAAAAGGAAAGTTTGGAATAAGGAGGTAAACTTAGGGCCAAAGGAAAAGCAGGGGTAGAAGCTGTAACTAGCACTAGATAAGCAACAAAACTGTACCATGCAGGAAAACAGATTGGGACCGTGTAAATAACGAGATTGGAAACTAAGAGTTGATATCGGGAGGTAAGGGGAGAACTAGAAGAAAGTGAGAAATAGTTAATCATGCCCCAAGACAGCAGCTTGGGGAGAACACATAAGATGAAGGGGAAACATCTGCTGCGTGAAGAACAGAAATGGGACACCACAGATAAAAAAAAACTGCACTATAAAAACAAATGTATCAGGGAGCAGTGTGAATACAGTAGGATGTGGAATTATGAGAGGGAGATGAAGATTGAGATGCTATCCAAGGTGTAATGAAGGGACATCATAGGAAGAATAAGGAAAACAAATGGGGATGGCTGGACAAGTGATGACAGTGAAAAAGTGAATAGGAATGAGGATTGGGACAAACTGAGAAAGCAAGACTAGGATGAGAAGTGTAAAGTAAGACTGTTAATGGATTAGCAAGACCTACTGATTTACGAGGTAACACCAGGAGTGGGTCAAAAAAAAAAGTTACAGATGATTATGTAGCTGGAATTACAATTGGGAAAGAGGCAGAACAATTGCCTACAAATACACAATCCCCTCTAAAACCTGGAAGGAAGCACAGGAAATGTAAGTCTCTGGTTTCTTGGCTGTCAGAAAAGGTCTT